CGTGTACATGTGGTAGTTTTGCAAATGGCGTCCAACCGTAAGAAACTATTCCTTTGAGCGGATTCCCTCCCAATTAGGCGTCAGAATCGGGACCACTTTCTCCATTCGCGCGCTATGAAGTTCGATCTCCTTACTCTTACTTCGTGGTCGGCACCATACTAGCCAGGGTTGCGTAGGACAGTACACTAGGCGGCAGCACAGTCGGTTCCCCTCTCTTCCTCTCTTTCCCCTTGCCATCAAGTTGCCTATCTGATTCGTTGCTAACCTTGTCGCTAAGTGTTGTGTGTTTTGTCCAGTTTTGTCTGTATGTTCTGTACGTGTCGTAATATGTTTTTGGTTTCTCTCTTGCATCGCTGTGTATTGTGCTAAACCTTGCAGTATTTGATCAACTGTATTAATCTTATATTGTAGTAATTATTAGTAATTACTAATAATTATGAATGATTGTGGTGTTTAGTGATAACTATCGCGAATATAGTTTTTTAAAACATTTTATGCATATATAAACTATTTTGTGTAAATATAAGATTAACAAAAATGTGTAACACAATTAAATATCAGAATATTATATACTATTTTTTAAAGTAGTTTACTTACATTTTAATGTTTGTTAAACATTTTAACAAAAAATCAATAATATGGTATTTTAAGTACATATAATATATTGGTTTTAATCTTCTCAATAATATTTCTTATGTGTGCACAAAATAAAATAAGATAATAATAATAAAATAAACTTTGCAACATTACTCACAAAACTTCTAAATTTATTTTCAATATCTACTTTTATTACTTATATTCACTTTTAATATATAGTTTGTTCTTTTTTACTGAACTAATTGCGCTAGTTCAGAGTTTATCTTTTTCTTTCTAAATGTAAAGAAAAAGAATAAACTTTGGTCTAGTGTGATCACAGTTCAGTGAAAAAGAACAACCAATAAGTATACCCATACCTATATCCTATACGTGACACGCGCGTTTAAATATGGTGGCAATCTCTCTCTAGTCGTTCTTTAGTTCACTACTTCCTGGCAGATAGCCTAGGTGGCGCTGAAACCAGCGTTCTCCTTCTCATTCTCACAAGAGGCGAGTTTGAACCCCCTGAACGTAGTGCTGTCTTTTGCAGGACGGAAAAGCTATTACAGTTTTTTTATATAGCACTGGGAGTCGATTGTGTATCTATGCAATGTAGTGTAAATTACAAAAGTGCGCAAATATACTAGTTGTTTACCAATAAAGTCATAGATATTTTAGTAAATGCGCTCATTGTTGTAATTTTCACTACATCGCAGAATACACAAGTGACCTGGCTCTGACCGCTCTGTCTTCTCTCTGATTTTAATTTATCAATAGATTAATCGCACGCAGATTTGCTCTGTGAAGTTTTTATCTGTACATGATGCAATTAAATTATCGATGACTTCAAAAAGCACCGATAATAATGATAAATGTCCAGGCCTAATGTCTGCGATCTGGATATATCAGGTTATACATACAATAGAATCTTGAGTAACATTTAGGTTTTAATGTTGCTCGGTGTCTCGGTGTTTATTGAAAAGTTATGTATAAACAATCAAAATTGAACAATTAACAATTAATAATCCGTTATTATGGAAGTTTTATAAAAAAATTCTCCACAGATTTCAAACTTCACACGCAAAATGTGAGTAATGAGTTTTTAATCAGACCTAACTTTTTAATTTAATAAACGATCGCTAAAACTTGACCATCACTCGCAACTATGACCTCGATGTATTTCAAGGTCATTGATATTGAGTCCAATTATGTGACTAAAGAATCACCATGTAAAAAGTTTTGCTCAATTTTGGCACGGAAAGGGAAATTTCTTTAGTTGTATATTTGCATGTTTTTGCTCTTGTAGAAGCATTTCTGACTTTGTACAGTAAATACAAAGATTTTTGTCATTCTCTCTTACGATATTCGAAATTGACGACACTGACCCGTTTTTTTTTTTGTAGCACTTAATAATTAAGATTTCAATTCTATGAAAGTAATTATAAGGTAGTTTGGTTTTAAAACAACCATCAATATTAATCTATATAGTTCAAAGTTATACAAGAAAGACACACTTATATATATTTACAAATATGTAGATTTCATTTTTAAATCACAAAAGTAATCAGATTTGTGTACACAGTGTCTCACCAACATACGCATGTATACGCGCACGCATACGTAAGAAACTTTAAGATTGCCTGAATGTTTATGCACGGAGACAATATATAAACAGATATTTGGCATTTGATTGATAAAAATGTTCTTTTTGTTGCATTTGATAACAAAATAAAAAATGATGTGAATGTATAATTGATCTGTGTTCAATTAGCCTCACGTAACAGAAACATTCAAATTATACAATGGCTGGAAATATTTATTTATACATTTAGAGTGTGCAATTAATAATGCACTGTAATGAAACTTTTTTTCATATTTGTTAATGTGTGTGTATACATATATATACACACATACATGTGCATATGTGTGTATATATATATGTACAATATCGTCTGGGACGTTCACGAAAACAATATTTCCAAATCATCTATGTCCGATAAGGAAAATTCATCGGAAATCTCGTGAATATCGACATTAGGATCGTAATCGTCACTGCTGTCGCCAGAATCGTCTCCATCGCCACCGTCTTCGTCGTCGTCATCATCATCGTCATCATTACGTTCTCTGTCGTTTTGATCGTTATCATCGCCATTTTCTTCTACACCTGCATTATCGCCATCTGTTTTTAATAAAGAGTACTCTCTTTTACATATATACGCACACACTCTCACAAGCACGCACGCACGCACTCATACACACACACCCAATACTCCATAAAAAGTATAAAAAATACAGATAAATTAAATATCACATATCACTTAAATATTGCAATAATTTTTACCGTCTACATTATTATCATCTGATGCAGAATTTGAACCATCATCTTCATCACTGGCATCCATTTCTTCATCTTCATCTTCGTCGACTTCGTCGTCATCGTCTCTTCTTCTTCCAACATCGTATAATCTAACACACGATTCTTGTATACTTGAAAATTCACCTATATTTTCCACCGTAGCAATTTGAGTGTCAAATTTGTTACATGCAAATCCATTAATTCCTCTTTTAACATCGTAAGTTGCTGAAATATTATATTTACATGAAGAAAGCAAATAATCAGTTATTTTCTCACTCTCGTCGCTCTTCTCTTATCTCTTACCAATATTGCTGTAATCAAAACCATCCAGAGTCTTGAATGAAGTTACATAATGTGAATCATTTTCACCCTCTTGATCCGACGAAACTGCATAAATAATATTATTAACCGGTGAAAAGATAACTTCCATTTCATCAAGAGTGGGAACTGTTTTGAGCAAGTGAAAGGTTCTTAAATCCCACACTTCGGTATTGGACACAATTTCAGTACCGTTTGGATGAAAAACTCCATTTAATGTTTGATTCAATTTGTCAAATTTATGAATTTCTTTGCCTGAATTAACATCCCACAATATACCATCGCTAAGCACCAACTCGTCATTCATACTAAAGGTTGCTCGGTTTTTTGTATATTGATTGGAAATGGAAGGTGATAATGTTAATAATAATTTTGCGGTTGCTATATCATATATCTAAAAAAGGAAGAAAATTAAGATACAGTACGAATTGGGATATATACATGTGAAATCTCTCTATGAATACAAAATTGCCATCGTAATTTTTAACGTAATGTGTTTCTCGTGTTTTAATTAGATATTCCGACTTATTGAAAATCAAAAATTTACCGTTGCGCCTTCTCCTTGCGTGCCGATTATTCTGTCCTGTAATTTGCTGAATTCAACATACTCCTCGTTCTCGAAACCGAGCTTCATTTCAAAAAATGAACCTATATCCCAAAGTGCTGACATAGGATTTCTCCAAGTCGTCGAGGTCAACAAAAGATTGCCACGCTTGTTACATTCTGTATGGTATACATACGATTCATGACACTGATAAGTCGCTTCTTCCATTCCTGTATGGACATTGAACATTTTGATGTCTCCCGAATGGGTGCCCAAAATGAGATATTGCGTGCAAGGCTGTATTTACAAATGAGAAAAAAACGTATAGAACGATAAAACATATCGTGTATATGAGAAAATAGTTAAAAATAAGACCAACAACAATAATAATAATGAAATTTACCGAGAAAGTACAACAAGTAAATATTCCTCCTACTTCAGTAGGTCGAAAAGTTTTTACAGGACAGAAACGGCTGTAGATATATCTTCTATCCAATTTTCTGCTATCCATACCTAATACTCGCCTTGTTAATCTCACCGTTATATTCTGAGACGAGGAATTTTTTGTACACGGATCTGGACATTTGTGAGGTCTGTAATATAAATTCAAACACATAGACAAAACGAATTTATGTAACAATGATCATACATATTTTCTATTGTGGTTAGGTTTTTTTTCAATGAAACGAGGAGCGATAATTTTCTTCCAACTTCTGAAAAACTATACAATTAGATATCACAGAATACTTACTCAAAAAGATTAAACTGTGGACATGTTACCATAGGATGCTTGCACAGAGCATGTTGATTAGTCAAATATTCGGTAATAATAGAATCGAGAGTAATATTGGGAGCAACTACACCGGATACATTGGAAGTGGGCACTACACCAGGCCCTCCGCCACCTCCGGGATCTCTAGAAATCTGTTTCTGTAAAGATTTACAAGTGGATTGGGTCGTAGACTGACAAGTTGAGGCGACCAAAGGTGATTGTCTGTCGATGGATATTGATTTTCTGCAATATAAACGAAAAAAAGTGAAGAAAAAAGTTAGAACAGAAAATTACATATCGACACGAGTTACTTACTTCTGATTGATTTGCAGTTTAATCGGTTGATTCACATTATTCGAGACGCCACTTTGATTCAGACAATCAGCGAGCTTCAAACGGATGTTACTGTTCACAGCTGGCGAAGAAGCGGAACACGTACTTGTTGTATGGGATACAACAAATCGAGACGATGTGGGAGTAGCGGTATTGTTTCGACAACTATTCAACGCAGCTTCTCTTGGCACACATCTAACGCTATTGTATAAATTGACAAAAGCAGCTAGAGAAAAACCATTTCTCGGCTAGAACAGATAAAATATAAATTTTTAGAATTATAAGCGCGTTTAGTCATTTTATATCGCAAATTTCGTCAACTTCAGTAAGTTCAACCTACAGTTATATTTGCAGGATTTCTATACATAAAAGGTTGATACGTTGTCGTTGATCTCATAATCGCCGCAGCGGAATCCAAATTACCTTCTCTGTGCAATGTATTAGCCGTTTCGGTTAAACCTTTTGACATAAGATGTTGATATATTAATTGATTAAGTTGTTGTTCATTGTACTGTATCCTTGTTTGTGCTACAACATTTGCCTGTGAAATAACATTACGCGTAATGTAATAAAAATACTATAATATTAAATGTGTAACATGACAAAGCTATAAAATGAATTTGAGAAGGTATTTCAATAATATAAAAAAGAAAACAACAATCTTGTCTTGTGCGTTAAGTGCGAAACATGAAGCAAACTCACCCTGTGCAAGCTGACCAAAGAAACTTCGTATTCCGCACCTGTTTTCGCACCGGGTTTCGCTTTACCAGACACCCTTTCCACCAATTCGAGAGCGTATTTCTGGAAAGTAACGTGTTCCTGTCGTTTTTCTTGCAATATAGGATCTTTCATAAGAGATTGAATCTGTCCATCGGTGAACATCGGTAATTTGCTAATAATCTGTCGAACTTTTTCGCTGCGCGCTAGCCCGGCTAATGCGCGGCACGCTAACGCTCGAATACTATCAGCATCGGTGATAGGTGTTTTCACCGTCATTAATTGCAGCAATACCATTATTCCATTATTCGATCGCACACACTCCCACACTTTCTGTATCAATTCCTCGCTATTGTGAACAGTAGTTTTTTTTTTAGCAGATCCAGTAACGGAATATCTGGCTACGCTTCCTCCAACCTGGAAAAAAGTAATCGAACGTCATCTCATCGTCAAGTACATAATCTGTATATGTTATGCGTTATAAAGTACATAAAAATTCGACAAAATCCAAACGTGTTAAAATAGAACAATTGTGCATACCCTCGCGATAGGAGCACATACGCAATTAACGATAGCTCTGAGTGCCGCTCTCTGTACATCGGCATCGGCGATAATTTCGCATTCAGCAGCCGCTAGAAAAAGATTAATAGCCGTTGTCATGGTCATGTCTGGCATATCGATTCTTTCGCACAGCAGCAACATAACTTTGGGCACAACAGAACAAATCGCAATCACGTCCAAACACGATCTAACTGTCTCCGCGCTGGAAGTGGTATGCATCATCCTGATGACGATTAAGAAACAAGTTTGTTTGAGTCGAGATAATCATCGTAATAATAGCGAAACACATATTTTATGATTCTCACCGTCCAGTAAAGTTCCACTCGCGAACAAAAGCTATGATTTGTAACAACAAAGTAATGCCACCCAAACGATAAAGTTCTTCCACAGGCGGCCATTCTGATCTAACAGACATGAAATCATGAAGAATCTCGACTTTCGCTTGAACCTCTTCGCTGCTGAGCTTACACGCCTGGAATAACAGACCTATGTGTGGTTACCTATGTGTGTTTCAAGAATATACACTCATTTTTGTTCCAAATACGTTAATAACATCGTTAAAAAGTATATGTGCAATCGCGTGAAAAATATATTTCAACCTTGTAAGGTGGTATCGAAGGCTGCCACGCTGCGTCGGCGCGTTCAGTTCTGACGTTTTCCGCGCGTTGCAATTGTTCCGCCTTCAAATGCAAATGCGCTTCCATGTATCTTTTCAAAGCAACAGCAACGTGCCGTACGATCTGCTTCGACGCGCATTCCTCATCGTCATTGATAGTCGCATCTTCTTCAATATTTAGAATCGGCAAAGTAGATATCTGAAGCAGAAAAAAAACCCAGAGATAAAACAAGTTCGTGTATTGCATTGTATATTTTTTTTGCAAAACTACTCGACATTTCGCGCGTCTTAATTCATCACGTTTTCACGAGCAAAAACACAAGCGCGAATACATTTTGCCTTACCACATTAAATAGTTTTCTCAAGCCATCTTGCGCATCGAATTCTTCCAATATAATTTTGAATGGAAAAGAAAAGCCGAAGAACATAGTCGCGTGGCATCGTCCGGAATCGTGACTACGTTCCAACAGCCATAACGCGTAAGTCACAAGGTCCGAAATCACATGTTTCGGCAGCAGACAAACTCGTTCCATAGCATCTTCGCAGTATGCGAGATAGTAGAGACATATAGAGACGCCGGTCGCCGCGACACTCGGTCTTGGCACGTCCAACAATCTTTGCAAACCTCCGACATTGAGAAATTCGATGGAGAATTTCTTATGACAAAGCAGAGACGCGAGATATTTGAGAGCCTCGAAAGCGAGTCTGCTGTCTTTGGTTTCTCGAACATTGATATACTTGAGTATCAAATCCAGAGCGTTCCGCTCGAACACATGGGCGAGGAATTCTTGATACTCTCCCATAGGCGTTAGATAACGCAAAATGAGCATTTGACGAGTAGCGAGGGTAGGAGGATACATTTGAATATTACCAATGACATAGGACTCCATCTCAGCCCAGGACGAGTTGGAATTTCCTTCCATCGCCGTCAAATGCGTCCCGCTAGAAATTGAACACAAACCAGATTTACATCCAGATTTAAATTGCGAACTGTTTGCGATTTTGGGAATGGACAAAGGCGGAGACATAATTTCAGGATAAAGCTCGTTATTTTTCACAGGTGTGCTTTCCGTACTATCGTTTTTTCTCTTCTTGCTCGTCGGTGCGTCATCGGAATTACAACATATAGAATCATCGTCGTCATTAGGAGAGAATTCTTTCGATTCTCGAGTCGTTCCGTTCTCTCGACGTTTATCAGGCGTCTTGCGCTTCAGAGTACCACCGCTCGTATCATCGATATCGATAACGTTGTTCCTGTCTCGTGCAAAATGAGCAAACGGTCTAGCATTGATGATTTGACGATCCTCGTGCGGTTTTTGCTGACGATCTTCCTGCGCTTTTTGCTGCAGCTTGTGCAATCGCTGCAACATGAGCGGTATCATCCTAGAATTTTGCTCTCTGAAACCAGTAGCAATTTCTTGAACTTCCATAGCAGCAGCTAGAAGACCGGTAGAATAACTCTGCAACGGCTCGATGCTCTTTTCCGCCCATGAGAACAATCTGTTGACAAGACCGTCCATCTCCGGCTGAAATACCGCAGATGTTTCTAATCCCGGAAGTATATCCAACATAACGCGACAGGCAGCGATATTCAACTTTCTCACATCTTTTCCGATTATTCCTGCCCTTGAAAAGTATGTGTCCCTCAAATAATCGTTTATCAACTGCAAACAAATTTCGTTATTATTAAAATTGTCGTTATATCTTGAGTAAACGTTGATATATTCCGTAATTACCTTTGTCATAAAATTATCTTTTCTGAAGAGAACTTTCAATATTTGTCCAAAATTACATTCTGGGTCAGTGCGTGAAGGATGTCTCTCATCAAACGGATCCGGATCCATCTTGTAATAATTTTCTGTCTCAAGCTCTATTATATCTGCTAATCTCTGAAGATGATTGGTAGGATCGTAATTAGGTGATAAATGTTCTTCTTCCCATTGTCGTAAAATTTGCGAAACTTCTTGTCCTGGTTCTGTACTGGCCATTATTTATCTGAAAAAACAATTATCAAATATATTGACCATAACAGATTTGTACAGCCCAAGTAAAACAAAGAATAGAACTTTAAAAATAAGATAGTGTATTTATACATGTCATGTAAATATAGTATAAATACAACTGATGGAATAGAAAATTAACATAAAAAATTGATGTATACTTCAAGGAAAGAAACAATAAACTAAAAACTCAAACATATAATAAAAAAACTAACATATGTGTGTAAAACTTTGACACTATATGTATAAAATACATATATCATTGCAAAATATATTCACTTAGTTATTCAACACAATACAGAAATGAGATAAACAAAATTTTGATAAGATTACAGAAAAAATCTTTCACATATTGTTATCACAATATAACATAAATCTCTCTCTGTAAAATGAGAATACACGTGAATAGCGGCTTAATAAGAAATTTTAATAATAATCAGCAACTTAACCTTAAACGATAGAACAATATGAAACGTGTCGATACATACGGAGTGATTATGATAAGAAACACTGCTTTTAAAACAAGAAAATACAGAAATTTTCCAACTTTTTTTTACGAAATCACCTAAGAAGCGATAATACAGCGAAATTTTCGCGTGAATATGAAAATACTCGATTACCGACCCACGCATTAAGAATGAACTTGATCAACAATATATGAACCAGATAGGACACTCGAGATCGCAATTTTACTAAAGCTAGATTTGCAATAGTAGTCGTCTTTTCATGTGCAAAATAATGAATACCGGACTAAAATAAAGCTGCGTTCAGTAAGGCCTGGTTTATGCGGGCAATAACTGTTAACTTATGCCGGAACCGGTAGAGTTTAACTATAGGATTTCAATACTTCTGTTTATACGCATTCGGCAATTTTGTATAAACAGAAGCATTAAAATCCTATAGTTAAACTCTACCGGTTCCGGCATAAGTTAACAGTTATTGCCCGCATAAACCAGGCCTAAAACTTATCGTTAAGCAAGCGATTATTAAGTGCGTTCAGACAACTCAACGGTTGAGAGATCATCACTTATGATAGGACTATTCTTCAAAATCTGCAACGGTTCCAAAAGTATGATCCAATCAGAAGTGATTATCTCTCAACCGTTGTGCAACTGTTGAGTTGTCTGAACGCACTCAATATCATCTACGTGACGTCACATGTGGGCATTTCAGCAATGGCTAAACGCGGCCTCGTAGATGATATTATCTTATCTTCAAGGCGGTTATCTGAAGCCGTCTATAAACGCGCCTTTGCTTTGCCCACATGTGACGTCATGTAGATGATATTATCTTTGCTTCAAGATTGGCCAATAGTTTTACGTTTTGAGAAGAAAATAGGAAGGAAGAGCAGTTACATTATCGACACGACGTAGTTGTGGACAATCGATTGCTACTAGTTAGTTCGCACGGCGCTCGTTGGCGCTACGAGCAACCGCCNCGCTTGNCCCCCGATCCCCGCGCCTATTCCGCGATTCAGTGACGCGTTGTGTACCATATATGTAATACTCCTATATTGCTAGTCGCGTATCTTCGCAATGAGAGGCACGAGGCCCGAGAAAGGGAGACGCACGAAGTCCAAATATGGGCATAGATGGTCGAGCGTCATTATGCGCCACATGCGCACAAAGCAGCTGGAGAGAGAGGCTACTATATTGTCTGCACCGTAACGGTGAGCTTCAGGTCGGCACCGTACTAGCAATATAGGAGTATTACATATATGTTGTGTACGTAGCTGGAAAGCTCCCACAGCTAAAATCAAAGTACGGATTCTTTGGTCCGATTGGTTAAATTCCAATTCACTTTTTAATTTATCGACTGTTCGGGAAGCACGCTATCAGCGCTATTGCGTCATTCTATCTTTGTCTTACATCTAATGAGCAATAGAGATGGCAACAGCGCTGATAGCGCGCTTCCCGAACGCAGCTATTTGATACGAAGAGAAATTTAAGACTCAAGATGCATCTCGATGATTTAATTCTTCCGTTTTTCTCTGATATCTGGCAAATTTGAGTTAAAATAATGTAAACCTTGGCCTTTGCAGTCTGGGATCGATAGTTTATAATATTAAGCTTGAGGTATTTAAGAGAGTCAGACATATGTGTATACATTCAATTCTATTTATAAATTTCCATAATACAATAATCAATAAATAATTGCTAATCTTTCTTTCTAATTATTCTTTCTTTATACATATGTGTTTGTACATATTCTCCTAATACTTATCTAGTTTTTTACATTTAACCAATATCCTTTTTTTACAGAATATATAAACCTAAATATAACTTTAGAAAAACAGACGGCGCGAAGAGCTGGGCAAGTTTTGCTTGCACGTTTCAATTTTTCTTATGATGACTCACTGAGTTTATACAAGATTATTTTTCATCGAATCAATTACAAATAAGAAACTTAAAAATAATTCAAAACTTATAAACAAAATATTTTTGCTTCATAGCAACTCTTCTCGTAACCAATCACGAGAAAGCAATTTAAAACGATTTTAAGCAATTGTGGTATTATAATCGAGAAATCAATTGGACCCTTTCAGTGTTTTGCACAAAAAAGCTTACTGTTGACTGCTTAACTCCTTCAGCTTGTCCAACAATGTATTGCCGAAAGAGTTTCTGTACTGTGGGCTGACAAAGTCCAATAAACTGTACGGCGTCTCGAAACGCTCGTTGCCGGTGTTGGACGTGTCGTCGTGACGATTGCCGACGATGGTAAAACCGGCAGCCGACAATTCCACGCAAAATCGCAGACCCTCCAATGTGGTCAAGTTCAAGTAGATGATTTGATTCGTGCTGGTGAGCCGTTCGGACACCTTCAGATCCTGCACGTGTTTTCTTACGTCATTGATCACTGCCTGCGCTTCCAGCCGCCATTGCTCCTCGTCCAACACACCGTCCGCGTCGTCCCGCATCGCGCAACTTGACCTCTTCACCAGGACATATGCCAGCACCTGGAGAATTACAGATGATCGCAAACACGCAAAAAAAGAACACGATTCTTTCCACTGCGACTAGATTTTGTGAAATGTCCTTGCGCATGCGCAAGTATTCCACGTAAAACTATACGTAACTGACAGAATCGCTTGTTGCTTTTTGATAGAAAAGTTACATGAAAAAATTTATGATTGATGTATTAATATGCAAATTTTATTCTTTAGATCTTTGGAAAATAAAAACAATGTTTATAGCGTTTTTGATCGATACCGATATTTGAATCACTTCTGAGCAATTCAATTCGTACCGGTCAAAAACGCTATCAGAAAGAAAACTTAATACGTAATTTTTCCGCATTTTGTCATAAGATGTTTTCATAAAGATAAATATAGAATTTTTATTTCATATGTTAAATGCGGCTTATTTGCTTCGCACATATAGATATGTGTGCAAAGTGCACACAGTGTACAAAGTGTATATGAAAAGAAAGTTAAAACCTGAAAAGAAAGAGAATGTATGCAAAATATGCCACCCTTTGTTTAAAATATGACGTGCGTTTAAGAAAAGGATATCTCTTTTTTTATCCTGTTCCTTTCTGTACCGTTGCCGTTTAATTTATTCGCGTTGTGTTCAAAATAGTGTTATATAAAGCTTCGTTAACAGAGACTGCATATTCTTATTTAATAACCTTAATATCATGTATATTTCACAATTTTATTAAAAATATTTTATTTTAATTTATATATATAGCATATGTACATAATAAATCACATATATTATTGACTGTTAAGAGAAGATACGTACACTTAAATGAGCATACAATTATTTGTGCAATATTTTCTTGATAAGTATACAATTTTACAAAATTTATAAATTTTTTTACAATCAGGCTCATTGTCCCGCTAATTCGTGTGTATCGTCTATATTTAAGTCGTTCAAATCTTCCTCCCAAGCATTATCTTCATGCTCTTCCAAGGTAACATTTAATGTTTTTACATCGAACATACTTTCTGGTGATTGCACTTCTGGAATATGTAAAACCTGCGTCTTCTGTATCACAGGCTCCATATCTGTAAAGAAGTCGAATTCTTCATTCGAGCACGATATTACTTTTGAATTCTTTATATCAAGCTCCGTAATGTCGGAAAGTACCAGTTTCTTTGTGTACTTTGTTTTCGTAGTGCTCGATAAAGATTCCGATTCAGGCGAAGATAAGTCCGTATTGCAAGTATTAATTTGCACTTCTGTTTGCACTAAGTCAGAAGGAGCATCGACCACATGACAATGATCGTTTGTGACAGTTTCCTGCGTTTCCCAGTCGGACCAGGTGCTTTCTTCCTCGATAAGCGGAAACTCCTTTTCTCGCTTGTCCTCACCGCCATCTGGCGATGGCCTTTCAGATAAGTGCATGTTACTTTCATCTATATTCATGAAAACAGATGTTTCCTGCTTAAACGTCAAAGATCTCTTGATGTCCTCGATATTTCTGTTCTGAGTTTTATTTGGTCGACCGTCTGTAAATAGCTTCCCTCTGTTTCCACCAATAACTGTCGCTGCCCCCAAGATCGGTACTATGTCAGCTAGTGCTCGTAATGTGGCAGAAACGAGATTGTCATTAGTGTCCTTTATTCCGACAAGCAGTTCAGGAAGAATATGATTTTTCAGTTCATCCACTTCGAAGACATGCACAAACGAACTGAAATGCGACAACAATAACAGACGAATAGAAACATCTCGAATGCAGAACATTTGCAGAAGTCGTGGTACTAAGATATTCTTGAAGGTAGTAACTGTAAACAGACTAGTTCCAACATCATTCTTCTCATCTGCAAAGTTTAGACGATTTGTTAGAATATTTGTAAAATGAGACAGATATGTATAAAACAAAGTATGTTGCATAACATCAAAATCTACTGTAGATATGCGATATATTTTCTAACCTTTAGGCTTAAAGATAAAAGGTAAAAGTTTTACTTGGGCAGTACTATCTAACAATACTATTCTAGAAAGGAGCTTTCTTCCTAATTGTTCAGCAACAACAGTCTCGGGATACATCTGCAACTGCTGTCTCAATTTTCTACAAAGAATAATACACTTTCATATATGCAATATGTTACAATGTTAAAATTCACACAATATATATTCGACAATATTAGCGCAATAGTTTTTTGCCAGTTAATACTTACGTGAAAAATTCTTCCTTTTCACCATCAGTTTTTAATGGCAACTCTTCTAGAAATGCATATATTCTTATAAACTCATGAGTGAAGAGTGAATGTTGCAATACATTGGACAATCTACTTCCCAAACATGCATCTGGATCTTGGAGATTTTTTTTACAATACTCTCTGAATTCTAACACATTTGGTACTTCATCTGAATTGAGATGTTATATATCATATGTTACACACTACACTCAATATTAGACATAGATGACACACAAATTGCTATATATACCTGTATTCTGCAAGTTTTTAAAAATATCCTCCACTAATATTCCAAATGCATATGAATCAATTGCAGTAAGATTACCAGATTTAACTAAATCAACTATGTCTTCATTGGGTAAGATAGCCTTCTCATATCTATAACTTTTTATTCTTTGATAATATGTTGGTGTTGCATCTGCAAATTTGCACAGGCATTCTAATCCACCTAATTTCCAATATCCTTCTGTAGTAACGTAAATAGAACTGCTGCACACATTATTATGTGACACTAGAGCAGTCTCATGTAGAAATATTAAAGCCCGCAAAATACTATGCAAGCCAATACATATTTGTAATATATTTTGCTTTTCAATAACTTGAACCAATGGTCTGGCTTCTTCTGTGGCAAGAAAGAACTTGCTACCTTTGTTCCATGAAGAAATATATTTCAAAATACAAGGATGCCGATGCAACATAAAATTCTAAAAAATACAAATTAATAAATAACATTTGTGTTTCTTGTGTAATTTTGTTTTCAAGCCATATATATAAATACACATATATAAAGTACCTTTGCTGCTCGCTCTAATGGTGAGGGTCTTCCAAATGATGCTGTAAAATGCAAGGATGGCTCACTGATAAAGATTGATAGTTTTTGTAAATTAGAGTCACGTATGTTTGCATCATAATGCATCCAATAGTCTGTAATCTCAACAGCTTTGTCCTCAATTTCAAGCCCGCGTAGAGCACTTTTCTCGTTCCCCATTAGATTGTTGACGTATACAGTCCCAAAATATATATATGTGTATATAATATAAAAATGCTATATAAGTCAATAAGTGACACAAACTCGACACCACAACTGACACTGATAAATTCTGATATATAATCCTACATAGCACGTACGTGTAACAAAATCAAAATTCGAAAACTGCATTCTTTTTATAGGTTAGATGTCTGCGATTAGATGCAATTAAGAAATTGTTGCTCGAAGATTTGAATATGTTTTTCAGTGTTTTTTATTCATTCTCCCTTCATCTATTTTATTTTTTCTTTTTCTTTTAAACCGCTTTTCCTCTCTTCATGTAACAATATGTATTTTCAATCATTACACACGTACGACTGCGTACAACCACAAAGATGGACATTACGTCAAATCTAAAGCCGGTATTTAAATAACCTAACCTGATCTTGTATTAAAATCTATCTTAAGGTCATCTTAAGATGCCGCTTTATTGGTCATCATCTGAAAGGAAACAATTAAGACAGCTTTAAATATAAGATCCGACTATTAAGCCCCTTGCACAATGGAAGGAATAGCGATAGCGATAGAAATAACACAGTTTTAGACACAGAATTCCAACTCGTCGGAAATTTTATCGCTATTGCTTATTTTGATTTTCTGATCTGCATTGATACATGTGTATTTTTGTATGTTAGATTCCGCTGTTCCTACCGTTATTTATAAATATAAACTCTTTACAACTGGTATTATTTTTATCGCTATCGCTATTCCGTCCATTGTGCAAGGGGCTTTAAATACTGATAATAGGTGGTTTGGTGTATAGAGTCCTATAGTATGAGCAAAGAGAAACCTGAGAGCGGCCATGCCATTGTAGTTTCTTACGACGGTTTCAACCGCTGGTTTTACCCGTATTTTCACAAAAGTGGAACTCAAAGGCCGTTCTCCATGAAACTCAAGTCGCAGGTCTCGTGAAACTGATCAATCACGTTGGTCGATTGGCTGATTTGACTCTGCAATTGGTCAATTCCACGAGATCTGATACTTGCGTTTAATGTAAAACGGCCTTTGAGTTCCACTTTTGTGGAAATACGGCTAAAACCAGCGGCTGAAACCGTTGTAAAAAATTACCATATATGTAATACTCCTATATTGCTAGTACGGTGCCGACCTGAAGCTCAGGGCAACGTCCCATTGAGCGGAAATCTATAGCGGAACGGAATGTGCGGAACCAGCTCGACCAATCATAGCCATTCCGTTTTCTTTCCTTCGCTTTTTCTGTGGTTACGATTGGTCGAGCTGGTTCCGCACATTCCGTTCCGCTATAGATTTCCGCTCAATTTTACAATATACAGACTTTTACAATATACGTTCTTTCCATTTACCGGAGACATTAATAGATCCATCTATTAAACACACATATATATATACACATGTTATTTGTCAACGTTAAATATTAAGTAATTGGCCAATTGTTTTACGTTTTGAGAAGAAAATAGGAAGGAAGAGCAGTTACATTATCGACACGACGTAGTTGTGGACAACCGATTGCTACTAGTTAGTTCGCACGGCGCTCGTTGGCGCTACGAGTAACCGCCCCGCTTGCCTCCCGATCCCCGCGCCTTTTCCGCGATTCAGTGACGCGTTGTGTACATGTAATCGTGTCGATATTGCAATATACGATTAATCGATATAAGAATCGACTGTATTATTGTTAAGATGCGAAAAGCGGCGCTGAAGCGCGCCGACAAGCAGAAACGGAGCGGTTACTCAAAGAACTCGTTCTGCTCCTGAAGTAGTAGTCACGAGTCACGAGTTCGTGTCATCGCGAACAACGCACGAAAAGTCCTATAACTTCGCGCGTTTAGGAGTCGAGCCCGCTTGCTCTTGCTCCTTTTTCTAACGCGTTGTTGGTGTTAAAGGTATGTAAAGTAATTTATTAATAATTATTCTTCATTTCCCGCCGTTTCCTTGTCACGCACGTGGTCATCGCAGTTTTACAAGTTTTACGGCCGTTTTGGCCTGGTTTATGCGGGCAATAACTGTTAACTTTTTATGCCGGAACTGGTAAAGTTTAACTATAGGATTTCAATACTTCTGTTTATACGCTTTCGGCAATTTTGTATAAAACAGAAGCATTGAAATCCTATAGTTAAACTCTACCGGTTCCGGCACCTTGACCACGTGCGTGGCAAGGAAATTGCGGGATATGAAGAATATGATTATTCCTCACTCATACTCCAGAAATATTATACGGCTTGTGGTTACAACTATTACATTCTGATTAGTCAATTTTCTTACGGCTACGTCTTATGGTCTCAAGTTTTATGTGCGAAAGCCATAAGAGAGCCAAAACTGAGGACGCTGCTCTTATGCAAAATCTGTAGAATAGACACGTTGCCTGGTAACAAATGGCAACCAAAGCGTCGGATGGGGGCGGCTATATTGTTACGTCACTCAGCATGCCAAACAACATCATTTGCACCTATGAAGCTTATATATGTTGCTGGTGTGATAGCGATATAGTTGCATATTTCATATAATATACGAACTATGTAACTCGTATTAATTTAAACGGGCATGCTGAATGACATCACTTTGGCATTTTCTGATTGATCGAGAGTTACCAGGCAACCTGTCTATTCTACAGACCTTGGCTCTTACGTTTTCTCTTCTTGCTACTTATCCCACTCTCGGTACATACCTGACTAATTTAAATTTTACGATTGTAATACATATAAATACTTACAGGAAAACCAAAACTAAAACTTAAACGGAGAAACAACATAGAAGACAGATTTGAGAGAAAAACGGATGCAAATTGAGCACTACTTTTACCATGGACTATATTGATCCAAGCTACACGTTAATACGTGCAGTTCGTGAAGGAAACCTAGAAAGAGCAAGGGAGATACTTACTTATTTTGGACTATCTTATTCACAAGCATGGAAAGGAGGATATGTTTTACTTTGTGATGCTATTGAGAATAGGCATACAGAAATTGTTAAACTACTTTTAACAAACGGTTCTAAAGTTAACAGCAACACTGCCAAATTTGATAATGACGATCATGATACTCCACTTCATCTTGCTGTTAAAAATGATGACATAGAAATTGTTAAGATGCTTCTAGACAGACATGCTGCCGTTAATTCTTCAACTAGGTATTGCACAACACCACTACACAATGCAATTGCAAATAAGAACATAGAAATTGCTAACTTGCTTTTAAATCATGGAGCTATTATTGATGCTAGTGATAGGTTAGGTATGGCTTTATATTGCAACTGAGAAAAGATATTTACAGATTGATGAATATCTTTTAGAACATGGAATTTACTTGGAGAGTTAATTCTACATATATCTCTTCCTTTTCAGATGTAACACCGCTGCGTCTCGCTGTTCACACAGGATTTGTAGATGGTGTTAAGATGTTTATGGACCAAGGTGTTGATGTTAATATTGAAAATTGGTATGGCAGAACTTTGCTCCACGATGCGATCGAATGTGACGAAATAGAGATTGCCGAAATACTTTTAAATCATGGAGCTAACGTTGATGCCCGTGATATAGACGGTATACCTTCATATTGCAGCTGAGAAAAGATATTTACAGATTGAAAGATGAACATCTTTTTGACCATTAAGTTTAATTGGAGAAGTAATTCTACATACATCTCTTTCTTTTCAGCTTTTACACCACTGTTTCTTGCTGTTCAATACGGACATGTAGATGGTGTTACCATGCTTATTGACCGAGGTGCTAACGTGAATGCTGAGACTCCAGATGGAACAACTCCAATTCACGAAGCGGCTAAATATGCGAAAATTGAGATTGCAGAAGTACTTTTAAATCATGGAGCTGACGTTAATGCCTATGATAACTACGGTATACCTTTATATTGCAGCTGAGAAAGGATATTTACAGATTGAAGAACATATTTTAAACCATGGAGTTTAATTGGAGAGTAAATTCCACATATATTTCTTCTTTTTCAGGTGATACACCACTGTATTATGATGTTCTAGAAAAACATGTAAATAGAGTTAAGATGCTTATAGACAGAAGTGCTGACGTCACTGTTGAAACTCGAGAAGGCAAAACTCCGCTCTATTATGCTATTAAATATGAGGAAATGGAAATTGCGGAGTTACTTTTAAATCACGGAGCTAACGTTAACGCCAGTAATATATACGGTATACCTTCATATTGCAGTTGAGAAAAGATATTTACAGATTGATTAACATTTTTTAAAACATGGAGTTTATATTAATTCCACATATATATATATATATATACATTTCCACCAGGCATTACACCACTGTATCATGCTGCTCGAAGTGGACGTGTAGATAATGTTAAGATGCTTATTGACAGAGGTGCTATCGTCACTGCTGAAACTCGAGATGGCACTACTCCACTTCACGATGCGATTGCATTCGGGACGGAAAGTGCTGAATTACTTTTACATCACGGAGCTAAAGTTAATGCCAGTGATAAATTAGGTATAACTTTATATTGCAGCTGCGAAAAGATACTTCTAAATTTGTGAACATTTTTTAAAACAAGGAGTTTATATTAATTCTACATATGTATCTACATTTACACCAGGTGAAACACCACTGTATCGTGCTGTTCGAACTGGAAATGTAGATGGTGTTAAGATACTTATTAACAGAGGTGCTGACGTCACTGTTGAAAATCGAAAAGGCAAAACTCCGCTCCATTATGCAATTAAATATGAGGAAATGGAAATTGCGGAGTTACTTTTAAATCACGGAGCTAAAGTTAACGCCAGTGATATATACGGTATACCTTCATATTGCAGCTGAGAAAAGATATTTACAGATTGATGAACATCTTAAAACATGGAGTTTATATTACTTTTATGTATATCTATTCCTTTCCACCAGGTGTTACACCACTACTCCTTGCTGTTAAAAAAGGACATGAAAAATTTCTTGCGATGTTTTTTCCCAGATGTAATAATGTTAGTGCTAATATTCGGTATGGCAAAACTTCGCTTCGTAATGCTACTGAATATAAGGAATTAGAAATTGGCGAACTCCTCTTAAATCATGGAGCTACTATTAACGCCAGTAACGATAACGGTATACTTTCTTTTTATATTGCAGCTGAGAAAGGATATTTACAGATTGCTGAACATCTTTTAAAACATGGAGTTTAAGTGGAATTAATTGTACATGTATCTATTCTTTTTCAGATGTTGCATTACTGTGGTTTGCTGTTCACAGAGGAGATGTAGATATTGTTAAGATGCTTTTGGACACAGGTGCAAATGTTAATGCTGAAACTCGGTACGCCACAACTCCGCTACACGACGCGGTTGAATATGAGGAATTGGAAATTGCACAGTTACTTTTAAATTATGGAGCAAACGTTACTGCCAGTGATAAGACAGGTATAACTTTGTATTGTAGCTGAGAAATAATATATATAAATTTTTGAACATTTTTTACTACATGGAGTTTATGATAATTTTACATATATATGTACATTTCCACCAGATGTTACACCACTACATCTTGCTGTTACAAAAGGACATAAACAATTTGTTAGGTTGTTTCTTGATAGTGGCGCTAACTGTAATGCTAAAACTCGGGATGGCACATCCCCGCTTCACCATTCGATTGAATATGAGGAAATGGAGATTGCAGACTTACTTTTACATCACGGCGCTAACGTAAATGCCACCGATAATTTAGGTATAACTTTATATTGCAGCTGAGAAAAGATACTTATAAATTTGTAAACATTTTTTAAAACATGGAGTTTATATTAATTCTACATATCTACATTTACACCAGGTGTTACACCACTACATTTTGCTGTTACAAAAGGACATAAACAATTTGTTAAGATGCTTATTGACAGAGGTGCTTACGTCAATGCTGAAACTCAAGACGGCACAACTCCTCTCCAATATGCAATTAAATATGAGAAAATGGAAATTGCAGAATTACTATTAGATCACGGAGCTAATGTTAATTCCAGTAATGAGTCAGGTATAACTTTATATTCCAGCTGAGAAAAAATATTTACAGATTGATGAACATTTTTTTAAACATGGAATTTAATTGGAGAGTTAATTCTACATATATCTCTTTTTTTCAGGTGATACACCACTGTTTCTCGCTGTTAAAACAGGATATGTAGATGGTGTTAANATGCTTTTGGTCAGAGGTGCCAATGTCAATGCTGAAACTCCGGATGGCACAACGTTGCTTCACGATGCAGTTGAATATGAGAAAATGGAGATAGCGGAATTACTTTTAACTGATCATGGAGCTAACGTTACTGCTAGTAACGATAAAGGTATTACTCTTCTTTATAGTGTAGCTGAAAAAGGATATTTATAAATAGATAAACATCTCTTAAAACATGGAGGGAATATTAATTCTACATATATCTATTTCTTTACAACAGGTGTTACACCACTGTGTCTTGCTGTTACAAAAGGACATAAACAATTTGTTCAGATGTTTCTTGACTGTGGTGCTAACGTTAACGCTGAAACTCGAGATGGCACTACTTTTCTTCATAATGCAATTGAATATGAGAAAATGGAGATCGCAGAATTACTTTTAAATAACGGAGCTAAAGTTAACGCCAGTAACGATAACGGTATAACTTCTCTTTATATTGCAGATGAGGACGGATATTGACAGATTGTTGAACATTTTTTACAACAAGGAGTTTAATTCTACATATATATATATCTTCCTTTACTCTAGGTGTTACACCACTATCTGTTGCTATTAAAAGTGGACATGTAGATTGTGTTAAGATGCTGTTGGACAGAGGTGCCAACGTTAATGGTGAAACTCGAGAGAGAGAGAGCACAACTCCGCTAAACAATGCGATTGTAAATAAGAAAATAGAAATTGCTAAAGTTCTTCTAAATCGTGGAGCCAATGTTAATGCCAGTGATGAGTCAGGTATAACTTTATATTGCACCTCAGAAAATATATATATATAAATTTTTGAACATGTTTTAAAACATGGAGTTTATATTAATTCTACATATATATCTACATTTACACCAGGTGTTACACCACTGTATTTTGCTGTTCAAAGTGGACATGTATATGAGGAAATGGAGATTGCCGAGTTACTGTTAAATTATGGTGCTCATGTTAATGCCAGTGATAAGTCAGGTATAACTTTAAATTATAGCTGAGAAAATATTTTCAGATTCATAAACATCTTTTAAAACATGGAGTTTTATGTTAATTCGACATATATCTTTTCTTTTGCACCAGGTGTTACACCACTGTGTCTTGCTGCTGAAAAAGAAAATGTAGAAGTTGTTGCGATGTTGTTAGACAGAGGTGCGGACATTAATGCTATATCATATAACGATTATTATGACTTTTCTCGTCGCATCTATTATAAAGAAATTGCTGAGTTTCTTACACAGCATATAGTTAAGATAAAAGCTGCAAATTTATTTGTAAGTGAACAATTATTATCAATGTGCAGCATTTATAAAATAAGAGATTTACAGGATGAATGTGAAAAAGAAGTAGCAATCATGAAGAATGAGAAAATTAGTAATACTACCATATCATTTTACGATATCTTGATAAAAGATACAAATCGAGTAGCAATATACATGAGAAATGAAAATGTAGTGCAGGTTTTAAGATCAGACGAGTATAAAACAAAATTTCCAATATACTCTAGCATGATAAAAAATCAGTTCAGAAAAGGTATGAAAAAGAAAGAGTTGCTCGAGCAAGGCACTAAAATTTTCTATTTTTTCTGTAACTTTCCTGAGCTACCACTTGAGTGTATTGAACAAATATTTAGTTACCTAAGTGATAATGACATAAGAATTTTAATAGATACTTGTAAATCTGTTAGTGTCAGTAATCTTAATAACTGATATTAAGAGAGTACTGGATACCGACTATGTAAACCGACGTTCTTTAATCAGATTCTGTGTCGTATTTACTGCATCAAATTCAAAATGCTTCTCCAGAAATAAGTAAATTGTGCTAAGAATTGGCTGTTGTGCTTTGGAATGTCAAAATTCATCACAAATTTTTTCTTAGACAGTTTTCTTCTATAACTTCACCATATATTCATGTATGTAGAATTATTTCTAAGCTTATGTACGTATTTGTACTGAATTGCCGCCAAACATACGACAAAAACAAATCGAATGAGCTATTCAAATTATGATTTGACTATCTCATTGATGAGAGAAATCTGAGTTCGTGATGTGTATTTTATATCATATACTATTATTATGAATGAAAAGAGTTTAAAAAAGCATTATATGTCCATTTTCAAAAGCTTCATACAGTTTTTTATATTTATTTGCTTCTGTAGAAGCGCTTTTAATGTCATACAGTAAATAAAATTAAAAAATTAAAGAAATGTTATAAAAACGTCGGTTTATACAGGTCGCTATAGTCGGTATCCAGTATCCTCTTATAGCCAATTATTTCACTTCTAGCGGCCGATTTCTTCATACCTCTCGATAGCTATCCTCTGGATAAATTCTTCTGAGAACCAATAAGGAGAACCAATTTTGGGAGATATCTTTTAGATAAAGTTATCGAAAACTTATCTAGAAGTGAAAACATTGGCTGTAGATAAGTTTTCGATAACTTTATCTAGAAGATATCTCCCAAAATTAGTTCTTCTTTTCGGTTCTCAGAGGAATTTATCCAGAGGATAGCTATCAAGAGATATAAAGAAATAGGCCGTTAAAGATGTATAAATTACTTCAAATACATGTAAAGTGCTATGTGTGTAAGTTAAGAAAGAATGAACTACTATTTAAACATGAAATAACAGCTGTACAAACTTAAAGATTATTGTTGTATTGTAAATACAGATTACTATCTTATTTTAAAATTATTATTTTTTTAAGATTTTATCTTATCCCTACATTTTGAAAGTTGTTTCTTACGTTTACATTCTCTTGGACGTGTTCTTTTATGGTGGATCAAAGGAAAACTAGACTGTTTTATATCTTCCCCTTTTTCAAACTTTGTGTCAAATTTTATAACATTTGTATAACGCAAAATTTATATACATTAATCCGATGATACTCTTTTATTGAAGACAGAGTGTAATACGCGCGTGTAATTGCTTTTATTAATTAAAAAAATAAAATTATGTGCGATGGATATGTTTACCTTCATTTTCTGTATGTTTAAAATCAGCAATTTATATAAAAAAATCTTCTATGAAAAAAATAAATATAAATAAGTACACGTATAAAAATAGGAAATTAGTAGTTAGTTTTTTAATTAAAAAGATGGTGCTTGTTAAATTTATTGTTAGAAGCGAAGAGAAGCCAGAGAGCAACTATCTCATTTGACGCAAACAAAATAATAGGTTTGTTTTTTTTCCCTGAACTGGCTGCACTAGTTCACAGTCTATCTTTATTTATCCATATTAGAAAGAAAAAGATAGACTAGTGCAGCCAGTTCAGAAAAAAAAAACAAACCTAATGGCAACCATAGACGTATAATATATAGACTGCGCGTTCCCTACCTTTGCTATGTTAAGAAAATGTCTTCAACGTTGAGAGAGAGACAGCTGGTGTTGAATAGGGCGTGTTCCGTTTGACCACAGTACGATTCGACACCGCTCGATTCGACACAGATTTATTCGACACCAAATTATTCGACACCGTACGATTC